CACCAATATCCTTAAAAAAAGGTGGGCACAGTATAAATTGTACAGCCAGTATAAATTGCACATACATAATTTTTTTAATTACTTTGATTTGGGAAAAGCAGCCATCAAATTCAATGGAATTTCCTAGCCACACAGGTCTATGTTTAGGATTTGCATGTTTAGCTTGACAGAGTGTCCTTAGAAGATAGGCCAGTCAGCACAGGGAGTCCATGAATGGGAGCCTGTTCTAGGTATTGCTCAGGGACTTAGAGGATGATAATGGTCAGTAAGGAATGGCCACTTTATGGATTTCCCACCATTTTTGAAGCTGCAAGTATCTCATATAATGCCTCCAGTGAGAACCACGGGGCCCTCTCTTGAGACAGCAGAGCTTATGAGAAACTTGACTCCTAACTGCAATAAGAGAGGCCTTAAGGAAGACAGGCCTTCTCCTTCCTTTGAGCAACTAAGCAGACAAACATTTGCCTAGGCCACACCACACTCTGTGAAGGAGACATCTTTACAGTGAAAAGGTCTGAGATTCACTTCAGGGAAAATGCAACAATGAAGAAGTTAGGTAGAGATGAAAGCTGCCTTTCTGTTTGGCTTGGAAAAGCTGGCTTGGGCAATGAACAGCCAAGTGCAAGTCCTTTTAGTGATCCAGGGCTTTACAAAATAGAGTGAAGTCAGAATACATGGGAAATGGTATGGCAGAAGTCTCTGGAAAACTTGGAGGCTTTGAAGAGGGGCCTGTTGCTCTGTGTTTCTAATGTTTTCAAAGCAGGCACTCATATCCACTCTAGCCAATCAAAAGCACATGTCAAGCATTGGTACCACCACCACAAAAATAACTAACACCTACATGGCACTTGCTACATGCCACTTGACATGCATTCTTATTGAATCCTATAGTTAAATAATAATCAGTTTTAGAGATAAGGAAACTGAGGCACAGAGAGATGAAGTGATATAACTGAGATAACATTGTTAATAATGTTGGAGCTGGCTTGACCCCAGACTTCCTGGACCTAAAGCTGTACACCATGTAATACTCCCTCTCTATAGTATCTCCAACTTTGGCCAATATAAATATCCTATGATCCAAATCACAATCTCATTCATGCAAGCAATATTTATTGAGCACCTTCCATGCATCAGGCATTGGACTAGGTACTTGGAAAGCAGCAGTTAACAGGCTGAGTCCCTGCTACCATGAAATTGAGAGTCCAGGGCTTGGGAGGAGACTAGAAACACATAAATATATGATATTCCCAGTAGTAACAAATGCTAAAAAGATATAAAACAGAGTAAGACACACAGTGATGGGTTGGGGTTTCTATTTTTTTAGTAGAGTGTTCAGAGAAGGGCTGCATGAAGAGAGGACATTTGTATAGAGACTTGAATTAAGAAAGGGAAAGTCATGTAGTTATCTGGGGAAGGAGCATTTCAAGAAGAGGGGAGAGAACATGCAAAGGGCTTGAGGCAGAATTATACTTGGCATCTTCTACAAATAGCAAGGAGGCTAGACTGGAGTGAGTAAGATGGGAAATGGCAGGATATGCAATCAGAAAGATAATGGGCCCAGATGAGGTAGAGCCCTATTAAGAACTTTTGATTTGCTTCCAAGTGAGATGGGAAGCTATTTGAGGGTTTTGAACAGGAGAGGGCTATGATATGATTTCTATTTTAATGGCATATTCTGACTGCTATCTTGTGAATAGACTGAAGAGGAGCAAGGGCAGAAGCAGAGAGACCAACTAGGAGGCTACTGCAAAAATCTAGAGGAGAGATGATGGTTTATCAGACCAAGACAATAGCAGCGGAGGTGGGAACATGTGATCAGATCTTGGAGATATTTTGAAAGCAGAACTCACAGAATTTTTCAAAGGATTGAACATGGAGTATGAGATAAAGAAAGGAGTCAACCTAACTCTAATTAATTAGAAGGATACAGCTGCCATTTACTGAGATGGGGAGATGGACAGAACAGATTGAGAAGAAGACTAAGAGTTCAGTTTGGGACTTGTTTTTTTAGAGATTACTATTAAATGCATGAAGTGAAGGTGTCAGGTAGACACCTGGATAGACAGGTCGGAAATCTAGCCTTGACTGGAGGTACGCATTTGGAATTGATCAACATATAGATGGTATTTAAGACCAAGAGACTGGAAGAGATCCCCTCAGAATATAGATAGAGAAATTGACTGAGACCTGAATCTGGGAGCCTTCAAACATTTAGAAGTTGAAGGAAAAAAAACATCCGGCAAAGGAGACTAAGAAGTAGTAATGAGGGAGGTAAGAGGAAAACCAAGAGTGTGATGTTATAGTATCCAAGTGAAGGAGGTATTTCTAAGAGGAGAGAGCAAGCAACTATAGCAAATGTTGTTGAGAGGTCAAGTAAGATGAGAACAGAGAATACCACTGGATTTGGAAAGCGAAAGTCACTCACTCAGTTTGCTAAAAAGTGGCTTCAAGTAGTAATGAGGATGAAACAGGAGTGGAGTGGACTCGAGAGAGCTGGAGAGGAGAGGAAGAGGACAGAATGTGCATGGATGACACTTTTGAGTCTTGCTGTAAAATTAAGCACAGAAGTGGGTCAATGGGTCGAGAGTTGGTTTTATCTCAGGCTGGGTTTTACCAAGCAAGCAGGATAAAGGAAGTGAGAGGCTATGGATAGATGGTACTCACAAGGGAGTGACTGTAATGAATCTGAGCCAATGTAATTAGTTCCAAATCAAAGAGTCAGAGAACCAAAGTTAGCAGACTTGTCTGTGCTTGAAGATTCTGGCGTTTTGTCCTTTCTTAGGAGCCAGATAGATCCCCTGAATCCCACTTTCCACATATCAATTCCCTAAATGACTCAAGATCAATCATTCCCTCTCCTGCTGTGAAATACTCAGCATACTCTTTTTCTCCTTTTTTAAGTTTCTTTTTTATTGTTCAAATACACTTGACTCCATTTACCCATCACCACTTTTCCCTGCCCCACCCACCCCCACTTCCCCCATTCAAACCTTCCCCACTTGGCTTCATCCATGCGTCCTTCACACCTGTTCTTTGATCTGACCTGTCCCCTTCCCCTCCCCACTTCCCCCCTCCCTCCGGCCCTCCCATCTATCCCTGTCAGTTTCTTATTTCTTTCAATGTTGCTGGTCATATTTCCCTTGCCTGCTTGTTTGCTGATTAGATTCCACTTATAGGTCAGCACACTCTTGAACATCACCTCCCCACCTCTCCACCTACCTCCTTATTGCCATTTTGACAACAAGATCTTCTATAGCATTTCTTTTATTACATGCTGCTGTCATACCCCCTTCCACATGTTTACTTAGCTCACAAGATTTTCTAAGAAAATCGTGTCACCTGACCTGGAAAAGGAATCTTTTGGAAAGAAGTAAATTCTGCAAAGGTGAGTACATCAGATATATATCAACTTCTTGTCCAAAGTCAAAGAGTAAAGCCAGAGCGATGACATCTGAAAACAGGTAAGCTCTTACCCTACAGGCCAAGGCCCTAGCTGGCCACTTTGCACAAAGTGTCCCACTTGGAAGCATATACATCCTCCAGTGAGAGCAAGGCATTCAACATGTGTGCTCAGCAACTTCAATCAAGACCTCTTAAAATCAATGAGACCCTGGTCTATTTGCATATTTCAAAAAGGTGATGAAGAGCCCTATCAATTCACATCCAGCTGGCAGGGTGACTTCTCCATTAGGCACAGCAGGCATGGTGCCCTAGGGCCCATGAATACTCTTAGGAGCCCATGACAATGTTTTAACTGCTTTTAAAATCGAGCCCTGGCTGGTGTGGCTTAGTGGATTGAGCTCCGGACTGTGAACCAAAGTGTTGCTGGTTCCATTCCCAGTCAGGGCACACACCTGCATTGTGGGCCAGGTCCCCAGTCGGGGGCGTGTGAGAGGCAATCACACTTTGGTGTTTCCTTTACTTTCTTCCTTCTTCCCCCTTTCTAAATTAATTAATTAATTAAATAAAATTGAAAGAAAAATGAATATAGCAATGATAATGAATGTATAAGATGAATGCAGCCTGGATTATATTTATTTTTATGCCAATGCAGTCACAAAATGTTCTTTTTCATTTCTTTTTTTAAAAGATTTTATTTGTTTACTTTTAGACAGAGGGGAAGGGAGGGAGAAAGAGAGGAGAGAAATATCAAGGCGTGGTTGCCTCTCACGTACCCCCTACTGGGGACTTGGCCCACAATCCAGTCTTTCTCCTGATTGGGAATCAAACTGGTGACCCTTTGGTTCACAGGCTGGCACTCAATCCACTGAGCCACACTAACCAGAGGCTTTTTCATTTCTTTATGAGGAATGGGCCTATGAAGGCAAAGTGTCTAGGGTCCATTAAAGTCACACAGCAGCCCTTGCCAGGTTAATTTTTGTGGCTTTCTCCAAATCTAGATATTTTGATGAGCACATTTTTACATAGTTATTGAAATAATTGTTTTGAGATGTAAAAATACATATTTAAAAAAATTGCCAAATAGTGAATGCAATACACACCCCTGATACTGTTAAGGGTGGGAAGAGGGATGTGGTAAGTTTCTACCTACATATCTCTGGTCCCACCCCTGACCACCAGATCATCCACTATTAGTGGAGAGGAGGCTGGGTATACCTACATGGGGCATGCTTTTTTTATATCACAAATCCTTTGGTGTCCCTGCTCCTGTGAGGCCAGCGGTAGTAGTAATAGTGATCACAATTATAAAAGTAATATTGATAATGGCAAATAGTTATGGTGTTATTATGTACTGAGCAGTGAACCCAGCATTTTACACAACTGAGGAAACAATGAGATAGGTAAACTACTTTGATTAAACAGTGTCCATTTTCACATTAAACTTCTAAGAAATGGGTGGCAGCTTCTCTCTAGACAAAGTAACTTACCTTCAGCAAATATATACATGTCTATATGCATTAAGAGAAATCAGGGAACTGTCTTTCAGTGATAGCCTTGATAGGGAAGTCCAGCCTCCTCCCTCCCAACATGCTTACCCTTCCTCAGGACCACATCTTCACTCTGGCTCAAGGGGCTCAATTCCTGGGGGTTCTTGACATTGCTCAGAGCTCTGGAGAAGTGTTCATCTACTACACTGTTGATGTCCCCTTGAAAATAGGTGAAAATGACACACTGGGGACTCCACTCAGTCTTTATAGGTTTCTGTTTCTGGACAGTGTTCCTCCTCGTATCTTCCATGGTGACACAGGTGATAGCTGCAAATCAAATGTGACATATTAGTAGCACTATTTTTCCAATTGGCTTGGCTATAGATTGGATGAGCAGCATTCTTGAAGGCAAGCAGTTAGATCCTACCAAGCACAGGCTCAAAAACCATGCTGTACTGATATGAGGACAAGCTGAGGAGAGCGGTCTAATCAGTGCTCAGGAAACAAGACAGAGCTCTGTGAAGCACTGAAGGGACCCTTCTCATAAATGAGAAAAGTTTTCTAGCAACATGGCTAGAAAAGCATCAGTAAACAAAAGAAAAAATAACAACGAGCCCTGACTGGTGTGGCTCTGTGAGTTGGGAGTCCTCCCACTGAAGGGTCATGGGTTTAATTCCTTTTTTTAATTAACTAATTAATTTTTTCAAATACATTTGTCTCTGCCTACCCCCCACCACTTTCCCTTGCCCCCTCCCTCCCTCCCTCCCTCAATTCTTCCCCTTTGGTTTTGTCTATGAGTCCTTGCTATCAGTTCCTTGACTTTCCCCTTCCCTTTCCTTTTCCCCCGCCCCCCTCCCTCCTTCCCTCTTGTCTCTGTTGGTTTCTTTTCCTTTCAGTGTTGCTGGTCTTATTTTCCTTGCATCTTTGTATTGTTGGTTAGGTTCCACTTATAGGTGATCAGGGCACATGCCTAGGTGGTGGGCCAGGTTCCCGGTTGGGGGCATGCAAAAGGCGACTGATTACATGTTTCTCTCACACAGCACTAATGTTTCTCTCTCTCTTTCTTCTTCCTTCCCCTCTCTATAAATAAATAACTAAATAACTAACCAACTAAATAAATAAATAAATCTTTTCAAAAAATTTATTTACTTTTCAAATACATTTGTCTCTGCCTTCCCCCCATCACTTTCCCTTGCCCCTTCCCTCCCCCCCCCCTCCCTGAACCCTTCCCCTTTGGTTTTGTCCATGAATTCTTGCTATATGTTCCTTGAATTTCCCCTTCCCTTCCCTCTCCCTGCCCCCCCCTTCCCTCTTGTCTCTGTTGATTTCTTTTCCTTTCAGTGTTGCTGGTCTTATTTTCCTTGCATCTTTGCATTGTTGGTTAGGTTCCACTTATAGGTGAGATCATATGGTATTTGTTTTTCGCCCCCTGGTTTATTTCGCTTAGCATGATGCTCTCCAGTTCCATCCATGCTGTTGCGAAGTTTAGTAGTTCTTTTTTTCTTTCTGCTGCATAGTATTCCATTGTGTATATGTACCATGATGTTTTGATCCAATCATCTACTGATGGGCATTTAGGTTGCTTCCACACTTGGCTATTATATATTGTGCTGCTATAGACATTGGGGTGCATAGGTTCTTTTGTATTGGCGTTTTGGTGTTCTTAGGGTATAGTCCGAGCAGGGGAATCACTGGATCAAAAGGCAGTTCCATTTTCAGCTTTTTGAGGAAATTCCACACTGCTTTCCACAGTGGCTGCACCAGTCTGCATTCCCACCAACAGGGAACTAGGGTTCCCTTTTCTCCACAGCCTCGCCAGCACCTGTTGTTTGTGGATCTGTTTATGATGGCCCTTCTGACCGGTGTGAGGTTGTACCTCATAGTGGTTTAGATCTGCATTTCTCTGATGGCTAGTGATGCTGAGCATCCTTTCAAATGCCTCTGGGCCCTCTGTATCTCCTCCTTAGAAAAGCGTCTGCCCAGGTCCTTTGCCCATTTTTTGATTGGATCGTTTGTCTTCTTGGAGTGGAGTCGAGTGAGTTCTTTATATATCTTGGAGATCAAACCTCTATCTGATGTATCATTAGCGAATATATTTTCCCATAGAGTTGGCTCCCTTTTCATTTTGCTGATGTTTTCTTTCGCCGTGCAGACGCTTCTTATTTTGATGAGGTCCCACTTGTTTATTCTTTCCTTTATGTCCCTTGCTTTAGGAGACATATCAGTGAAAAAATTGCTGCCTGGGATATCTGAGAGTTTCCTGCCCATGTTCTCCTCGAGGACTTTGATGGTGTTGCAACTTATATTTAAGTCTTTTATCCATTTTGTGTATGGTGTCAGCTGATGATCTAATTTCAATTTTTTGCATGGAGCCATCCAGCTCTCCCAACACCATTTGTTGAAGAGGCTATTATTGCTCCATTTTATCCTTCTGCTCCCTTTGTCAAATATTAGATGCCCATAGAGACCTGGGCTTATTTCTGGGCTTTCTATTCTGTTCCACTGCTCTATGGGTCTGTTCTTGTGCCAGTACCAGATTGTTTTGAGTATGGTGGCTTTGTAGTACAGTTTAATGTCCGGTATTGTGATCCCTCCTACTTTGTGTTCCATTCTCAAAATTGCTGCGGCTATTCGGGGTCGTTTATGGTTCCATATAAATTTTTGAAATGTCTGTTCTATTTCTGTGAAATACGTCATTGGTATCTTAATAGGGATTGCGTTGAATCTATAAATTGCTTTGGGTAGTATGGACATTTTGAGGATATTAATTCTTCCAATCCATGAGCACGGTGTATGCTTCCATTTATTTGTGTCTTCCTTAATTTCTTTTTTCAATCTTGTATAGTTTTCTGCATACAGGTCTTTTGTGTCTTTGGTTAAATTTATGCCTAGGTACTTTATTTTTTTTCTTGCTATGTCGAATGGTATTTTTTTTCTGATTTCTTCTTCTTCTATTGCATTGCTGGTGTACAAAAATGCCTTTGATTTCTGAATGTTGACTTTGTATCCTGCTGTTTTGCCAAATTCACTTATTAGGTTGAGGAGTTTTTGGGTAGAGTCTACAGGGTTCTCTATGTACACTATCATGTCATCTGCAAACAATGATAGTTTTACTTCCTCCTTTCCTATTTGGATGCCTTTTATCTCTTTCTCTTGTCTGACCGCTGTGGCTAGGACTTCCAATACGATGTTGAAAAGAAGCGGTGAGAGCGGACATCCTTGTCGTGTTCCCGATCTTAGTGGGAAAGCTTTCAGTTTTTGCCTGTTGAGTATGATATTGGCTGGAGGTTTTACATATATGGCCTTTATTACATTCAGGAATGCCCCACTTATTCCCATTTTGCTGAGTGTTTTGATCATAAATGGGTGCTGTACCTTATAGAATGCTTTTTCTGCATATATAGAAATGATCATGTGGTTTTTGTCTTTTCTTTTATTTATGTGATGTATCACGTTTACTGATTTGAGTATATTGAACCATCCCTGCATCCCTGGGATGAATCCCACTTGTTCATGGTGGAGAATCTTTTTAATGTATTGCTGGATGCGGTTAGCCAATATTTTGTTGAGGATTTTAGCATGCATGTTCATCAGCGAAATTGGCCTGTAGTTTTCTTTCTTTGCAGGGTCTTTATCTGGTTTTGGGATCAGGGTGATGTTGGCCTCATAGAAAGAGTCTGGGAGTCTTCCCTCCTCTTGGATTTTTTGGAATAGTCTGAGAAGGACAGGGGTTAGCTCTTCCTTAAATGTTTTGTAAAATTCTCCTGGGAAACCGTCCGGCCCTGGGCTTTTGTGTGCCAGGAGTTTCTTGATTACTGCTGCAATTTCCCCAGCTGTTATCGGTCTGTTCAAGCTTTCTGTTTCTTTCCCCTTCAGAGTTGGAAGATTATACTTTTCTAAAAATGTGTCCATTTCATCATGATTTTCAAATTTCTTGGCATATAGTTGTTCATAGTAGTTTCTGACAATCCTTTGTATTTCTGTGGTATCAGTTGTTATTTCTCCTCTTTCATTTCTGGTATTATTAATTTGGGTCCTCTCCCTTTTTTTCTTGATGAGTCTGCTTAAAGGCTTGTCAATTTTATTTATCTTTTCAAAGGATCAGCTTCTGGATTGGTTGATCCTCTGAATTGTTCTTTTTGTCTCTATGTCATTCAGTTCTGCTCTAATCTTGACTATTTCCTTCCTTCTCCTTGCTCTGGGGATTATTTGTTGTTGTTTCTCCAGTTCTTGAAGTTGTAGTGTTAGGTCTTTTATTTGAAAATTTCTATCTTTTTTAGGTAAGCCTGTATTGCTATGAACTTCCCTCTCAGGACTGCCTTTGCTGTGTTCCATAGGTTTTGGACAGTTGTCTGTTCATTTTCATTTGTTTCCAGAAATTTTTTGATTTCTTCTCTTGTCTCATTACTGACGCATTCATTGTTTAATACTGTACTGTTCAGTCTCCATGAGTTTGCAGGTTTTTGAAGTTTCTCTTCGACCTTGATTTCGAGTTTCAAGGCCTTGTGGTCTGAGAAAAAGTTTGGTATTATTTCAATTTTCCTGAATTTGCTGAGGCTTGCTTTGTGTCCTATCATGTGGTCTATCTTTGAAAAACTGCCATGAGCATTTGAAAAGAATGTGTATTTTTCTTCTTTGGGATGTAAGGTTCTATATATGTCAGTGAAGTCTCTTTGATTCAGTGTGTCATTCAGTGCCACGATATGTTTATTAAGGTTTTGTTTGGAAGATCTGTCCATGTTTGACAGTGGGGTGTTGAAATCCCCTACTATCAGTGTGTTGCTGTCTATATCTTTTCTGAAGTCATCCAACAATTTCCTTATAAACTTGGGGGCTCCTATATTGGGAGCATATAAGTTTATAATGTTGATGTCTTCTTGATAGATTCTTCCTTTAAGTATTATAAAGTGCCCCTCTGGGTCTCTCTTCATGGCCTTTGTTTTGAAATCCACTTCGTCTGATACAAATATGGCAACCCCGGCCTTTTTCTCATGCCCATGTGCTTGGAATATTATTTTCCATCCCTTTACTTTCAATCTGTGTAGGTCTCTTGCTCTGAGGTGGGTCTCTTATAGGCAGCATATGTGTGGGTCATGTTTTCTTATCCATTCAGCTACCCTGTGACTTTTGATTGGGGCATTTAGTCCATTCACATTGAGAGATATTACTGTTAGAAACTTACTTATCTTTTCTCTTTGTACCTGTGTTCCTCTCTCTCTCATTGTTTTCCTTCATCTGCTTAAATCAGTCCCCTTAGCATATCTTGGAGTGCTGGTTTGGTAGAGATGTATTCTTTTAGCCTTCTTTTGTCTGGGAAACTGTGTATTTCTCCTTCTATTTTAATGGAGAGCCTAGCTGGGGAGAGCAGCCTTGGCTGTAGGCCCTTGCTTTTCATGGCTTGGAATATTTGTTGCCATTCCCTTCTGGCTTGTAGTGTTTCTGTTGAGAAGTCAGCTCCTAGGTGTATCCGGGCCCACTTGTATGTTACTTTCTCCTTCTCCCTTGCTGCCTTGAGGATTCTCTCTTTGTCTTTGTCATTTACCATTTTAATGATGATGTGTCTTGGAGTGGACCCCCTTGATTCCCTCTTGAGTGGGGTTCTCTGTGCCTCCTGGATCCATGAGAGCCTTTCTCTCCTAAAATTAGGGAAATTTTCCATCATTACTTTTCCGAGGAGGTTCTCTATTCCTTGCTCCTCTTCTTCTCCTTCTGGTATCCCTATTATACGGATATTATTGTGTTCCAGGTTGTCCTGCATTTCCCTAAATGCCTCTTCATTCTTTTTGAGCCGTTTTTCCATTTCTTGTTCTTTCTGGGAGCTTTTTTCTACCTTGTCCTCCATCTCACTGATTCGATCCTCAGCTTCATCCAGCCTGCTTTGGATTCCTTCTACTGTGTTCTTCAATTCAGAAATGGTATTCTTCATATCCTCTTGTGTCTTCTTGATCGTTTCTATGTCCTTTTCCAGGCTGATATAGTTTGCTGTAAGATCCTGATAGTTTCTCTGCAGTTTCTCATAGTTCTCTTTGAGCTGGCTGAGCTCATTGAGCTTCCTTAGAACCATTGTTTTGAATTCCATATCTGATAATTCCCTTGCCTCTACTTAATTTAGCTCTCTCTGTGGGGACTCCCCTTTTCCACTCCTTTGGGGGGAACTTCTTTTTCTTCCCATTTTTGTGAGAGTCTGTTAAGTATTTTTGTCCTTTACTTTTCTTTCTGGGCCTGCCTCTGATGATGTCAGTTGTTGACCCTATAAGGCCTTGGGTTGTTTGTTTGAGCCTTCCAGGAGTCTAATGCCTGTGTCTGACTCCTGCTTAGAGCAGCTCTGTGACCCCTTCAGTCAGGGCTGGGCTATTTTTTGGGATCTCTCTGCGCTCTCACGCGGGCTCCTGGAGCACGTTCCCAGCGCGGCAGGGTCCCCCACCTGCCTGGGCTCGCATGTGCTTGCCCCAGACCAGGGGGTTTATTCTCGACCTCACGTACTCATTTGGCCCCCCTGGCCGGCGAGCTCCACGGCACTTGTCAGTTTAGGGTCTTCTGTTGTGTATTTTCCCCGCTTTTGGCTCTTTGGGTGCGTTGCTTGCCCTCGCCAAATGGGGACTACGGAAATGGGAGGAAGTCAGCTCCAGGACTCTCTGGTTAATCCTGTTTCTTGTCTCTCCTCCAGGGACTCTGGGCAGCTCTACTAATCTTGTGGGCTGCTCCGCAATCGCGGGTGGGCGGGTCAATTTACACCTGCCCTTGCCCCTCTGTGCACTCCCTCGCAGGCCGTATGGGTGCCAGTCTGTGGGAGGCCTTGCTGGCCTGTGCAAGCGTTCGCCAGCCCCCGTGGGTCACACACACGCTCACCAACCCTCGCCGGTCACTCCGCGCAAGTGTGCGCGCCTGCTCTGGGTGTTTTGGGGGTGTCTATGTGTGCTTTTCGGCTTTTGGCTCTTTGGGGGTGTGGCCTCTTCCCGTGCAATGGAGACTATGGCAAGGAGAAGGAGTCGGGTCTCCCTGGTTCCTCCTCCCGTTCCTTCCCCAATGCCTCCGTTTCTAGTCTCCCCTCAGGGGCCTCTGGGCAATTCTGTGACCCCTTCAGCCAAGGATCCACCCCCTGTGCAGACTGCGTTTCAATCGCAGGCAGTCTGGTTCATGCGCGCCCCGCTTCTGCCTCTTTGGGGTCGCGCCTTTCCAGCCCACAATGGGGACTACAGGACGGGGAGGGAGTTGGGACTCCCAGGTTCCTCCTCCAGTTCTTCCCCCAACGCCTCCGTCTCCAGTCTCTCCTCAAGGCTCTCCCTGCCAGTCTGCACTCAGCTCCACAGCTCACAGGCGTACAAACTGTGTGGGGAGCGCACAAAAGGCAGGTTAATTGATTCCCTTATGCCTGAGCGAGATGGAAGCTGCAGAGTGGGAGGTGCTTTATCACCCGGGCTCCACCGGCTGCCATGTCAGTTCTCTTCACAAACTTTTCCTCACCAGTCTTTTCCCAGGCACCAGCCCACCCTGCTGCCGCTTCTACCCAGCGATCAAGGAGGGTGGCTGCCACTGCAACTTTTGCGTTTGCCCTTTAAATGTCTTTTTGCATCCCCTGCCACCTGTCTCTGGCAGAGAGTGCCCCTAAGCTTTTTGGGGTTGCGTTTTGTCTGTATTTTCTTGGCTTTAGCTGCTGTAGTTTAGGGGTTCCTGTTTATGATTCAGACCCCATTCTTCTCGGGGGAAGCTAACTGGCTGTTTCAATGTCCCTCTGGTGCCAGTGCCCATGGGCACCCAGCCCACCCTCTCGAGCCTCCACCGCACTTCTCACCCGTTGGGATGTGTGAGAGTAGAATCCACTGTCCGTGGCACCAAGGTTCCTCTCCCAGTATTGCTCCACTGCTTTCCAGGTGATTACTCCATTATTTAGTTGCAATTCCAGTTTGGTTTTGGGAGGAGGTCAGCGTGACTCCCAGTCACTCCTCCGTCATCTTCTCTCTCCAATAAATCTTTTAAAAAATAACAATGAGGCCAAACCACAGAGTAAGTAACTTGCCTTCTTGGGAATTGCCTTCATCCTCCCAGAACTACATGTAGATATCCCTGAATAAAGGGGTAGAGCTGACTAAGCAATCCAGTGGGTATTGACAATTTCCATTGTCATAGTAAGCATTGCTTTCCATCTTGCCCATTTCCATGCAAGAGAATAAAACAGATCAATTTCTCTCACTCCCTCTGATGCCAGAATCTATGCATGATTGTGGCCTGCACCTACCTCTGACCTCAGCTTAGAAAATAGCAATTACAAACCATACCAGTCCTGAGGCCTCAGGGGAGTTATATTCTGAACCAAATGCAGATCTCAGCGCATGCGCACACAAACACACACACACACTTTTTTTTTTTACATTAATATGTTGTGGCAACATTGGTAAAAAGTGCCTGAAACAGCCCTGGCTGGTGTGCTCAGTGGATTGACTGCTGGCCTGTGAACCAACGGGTCACTGGTTCGATTCCCAAACAGGGCACATGCCTGGGTTGCAGGCCAGGTCCCCAGTAGGGGGTGTGCGAGAGGCAACCACACATTGATGTTTCTCTCCATCTCTTTCTCTGTCCCTTCCCCTCTCTCTGAAAATAAATAAATAAAATCCTTTTTAAAAAAGTGCCTGACAGACACTTTTCCAAAGAGGAAATACAGAGGGCCCAGAGGCATTTGAAAATGCCTCACTAGCCATCAGCATCACTCAGCATCACTAGCCATCAGAGAAATGCAGATCAAAACCACCATGAGGTACCACCTCACACCAGTCAGAATGGCCATCATAAACAGATCCACAAACAACAGGTGCTGGCGAGGCTGTGGAGAAAAGGGAACTCTAGTCCACTGTTGGTGGGAATGCAGACTGGTGCAGCCACTGTGGAAAGCAGTGTGGAATTTCCTCAAAAAGCTGAAAATGGAACTGCCTTTTGATCCAGTGATTCCCCTGCTCGGACTATACCCTAAGAATCCCAAAACGCCAATACAAAAGAACCTATGCACCCCAATGTTCATAGCAGCACAATTGACAATAGCCAAGTGTTGGAAGCAACCTAAATGCCCATCAGTAGATGATTGGATCAAAACATCATGGTACATATACACAATGGAATACTATGCAGCAGAAACAAAAAAAGAACTACTAAACTTCGCGACAGCATGGATGGAACTGGAGAGCATTATGCTAAGTGAAATAAGCCAGGGGGTGAAAGACAAATACCATATGATCTCACCTATAAGCGGAACCTAACCAACAATACAAAGATGCAAGGAAAATAAGACCAGCAACACTGAAAGGAAAAGAAATCAACAGAGACAAGAGGGAAGGAGGGAGAGGGGGCGGGGACAAGGAAGGGAAGGGGAAAGTCAAGGAACATATAGCGAGGACTCATGGACAAAACCAACGGGGAAGAGCTGAGGGAGGGAGGGAGGGAGGGGGCAAGGGAAAGTGGTGGGGGGTAGGCAGAGACAAATGTATTTGAAAAAATAAATTAAAATAAAATTTTTTTAAAAATTGCCTGAAACATTGTCAGATGGTCAGCTCTACATACCACCATACCCTCTGCACCTAGAACAGAGACTGCAATATAGTAGATAGATGTTCAATAGCTGTTTCCTGAATTGCCTAAAATTTGGCCTCCATCATTGTATTCTACCTGTGAGCTTCTTGAGTGCACACAGCAGACACTCAAGGAGACATGCTCTGACTCCTTTAACTAGAGAAATAGCCCATCTGATTGCTTCTTTTCCTTTGGCCACCCATGTGCTCAAGCTAAAGACACCTTAAATCTATTCATTCTTGTGAATACAATGAAAATGAGGAGAGTTAAATAGCCTTGTCTGAGACATCTGTCAGGATGAGGCCATTTCTTACTCATTTCTTTATCCCTAGCACCTAGCATAATGTAGGTAGGTATTCAGTAAACAAGGGCTGAATGGCTGAATGCCATTTCATGCAGAGACAGCACAATGCAAGGAAATCATATCAATGAGAGAAGTTAAAGGATCTGGGGTTGAATTTTGGGAAACCACATGATCTCTCTGGGCTTCAAATTCCTCGGGTAAAATGAAGAGATTGGAGTATATGAATTCTGCAGCCTCTTCTTTTATGGTTCTGCTAGAAGTGTCAACAGACTGTGAAGGAAACATTAGGAAGGAATCTTGCAGTCAGCAGCAACCCTTTCTGAAGAGCTCTCCTTTCAGAATCATTTTAACCCCAGTCATAACCAGACTATATTGTCTACAGAAGCTTTTGACTGAGCGCTACCTGCAAAATCAATCCATTGTATCCTTATTTCAAAAAACATGTGAACAACCACTTTGGAAGACTGGCAGTTTTATTATAAAGTTAAACATAAGCATACCCCATGACCCAGCAATCCTACTTCTAGGTACATATAGCCAAGAGAAACACAAACATATGTCCACACAAAGACTTGTACGTGAATGTTCATAGCAGCTTTATATATAATAGTCCTAAAGTGAAAACAATGTCCATCGCTAGGAAAATAAATAAACTGGCTGTGACATTTTCATATAATGGAATGTTATTCAACAATAAAAAGAAAGAAAAATACCAATCCACAGAACTTCATCAAATAATCACAAAAATACGTTGAGTGAAAAAAGCCAGAAAGAAAACATTATATATGATTCCACTTACATAGAACAGGCACAAACAATATCTAGTGATAGAGATCAGAAAAGTGGTTGCCTGTAGGGTGGAGACTGGGAAGAAGCAGGAGGGAACTCTCAGGACTCTTGGGAATGTCCTACACCTTGAAGAGGGTGAAGATTATACATGGATGTATACATTTGTCAAAAGTCATCAAATTGGACACAAGATTTGCACACTTCGCTGCAGGTAAATTATTCCTCAATGAAAATGCACATGATATATTCAGACACTCAGAGTTGTAGAAATAAAGCAAAGGTGTTATCCTTGAGCACATTATAAAATAAGTCAGATAAAGACAGGGACTATATTTTATCACTTATATGTGGAATTTTAAAAAGTCAAACTTGTAAAAGCAGAAGATAAGAAGATAGTTACCAGAGGACAGGACAGATGTTTAAGGGCACAAACTTGCAACAAGTTGTAAGTAAGCCCTAGAGATCTAGTGTACAATACAGTGAATATAGACAACAGTGCTGCATTATCATCACCAAGACTGCTAACTAGAACTTAATTATTTCAGCTACTAAAAAGGATTATTATATAACATGAGAGGTGTTAATTACAGCTATAATGGCCATCATATTACAATATGTAAATTTATCAAATTAACATATTGTACACCATAAAGCCACACAATGTTATATGTAAAGAATATTTCAAAAAATAGCAAAAATAAAGTAAAGCAAAGGTGTTATGAATCATAAACTAATGATCAATGTGGAGGCAGTACTTTTTCTAAAGCTACAGTTTACAGAATATCAACTTTGTGACAGGAACATATATTTTCTCCAATCTTTTCAACCCTCGAAGTACTTATTCTTATCCCCATTTTCTATGAGCAAACTGAGGCTTAGAGAATATGAAATAAACTACCTCAGCCACACAGCTAGGTGGTGGCAGAGCTGGGATTTGAATCCAGGTCTCTCTGGCTTCATTGTCCGTCATTTTTCCCTCATTCCTTACTGTCTACGTGAGGAGACTAATAGTCCCTTCCCCTCTGTGGGCCTCAGCCTCCACATTTACCAAATGTGAGAGCATGGCTTCTAATTTCTGGAGGACCTTGAACTAGGACCCTAACCCAGCCATTTGGTTTCCTTTATAGAACACAAGCAGAACATTTGTACACTCCCTCAGGGCTTCTCTTTGAAGTCTCTCCTTTCAAGAGCCACTTAGTACACTTTTAGGACTCTATTCTCAGAACTGCCTATTGCCACTGCTCTAGACTCAGGCTTGACACAGCTTGCCATTTATCTTTGCTAAGTCTCACTGAAACCATGATGGACGCAGAGGGAAACTGTTGGCTGGACCCTTGGTACTTTAGAGCCCTGAAGCACGTTCTTAGTCTCCTTGGGTAGAGACCACAAGCTACCTGGCCACAGGCAGGAAAGGGTAGAGATGGAAAAAGTCACAGGCAACATCTCAGCCCCATCACCTTGGAGGGCTCAAACCCTAGAAGAAAAGATCCTGAATAAAGCACAAATACAAACTCTGTCCTTCTGTTACTTCCCAAATACACTGATATGCATTCAAAGGAAAGTCATGGGATACTTGTATCGATCCAGTTCAGGAGCAGTTCTCTGCACTGCATTTGGTCCTCAGTGGATGGGATCTGTATTTGAGAGATGTTAAAATTCTGAGAACTGCTATTTGGCTTTATCTTTTGCAGAACTGCATCTCACTGCACCTCTGGAGAAACTTGAGCAGTTTTATCCTCCAATGAGCCTTCTGTGAGGGCTCTCTATTTATAAGTGAATTGGTCAGGGTGGGTCTGGCTTAGAAGCGGATGCTGCAAGACTAAAACTGAGGGGATATCAGTGAAAGAGAAGAAAGGATGGGGATTTCTGGAGATGTTTCTGTATCAGTGCCTGGCTTACAGTAAGAGCCTCTTGCAGACAAAACCCCAAGGCCAAGTCTTGCCAGCTGTGCAGTGACAACAGCAAAATTATAAAAGTACACTATAGCTTATAATTTCCCCAGTGCACAAAATATACACACATCAAGAGCTCCAAGTGGACCTTGAAGTATTACCCAATGTTCTGCACAAATATTTTAACATGGAATACAAGAACAACTGTTTGTCCTCAAGATCATGCACACACACTCATCACCCTTCTGCAAAATGGTTCTCGGCACCCAGGGGTGGGGTGGGGAGTCAAAGAGGTTGTCACA